AGACTTAGGGGGGGAAACTTCATAGCTTCTTCTCTAGGCTTTGCCTTGCCGATCCACTAAACGTATTGGCTGGTGGGTGGCTACTGGGTCCTGATCAGGGTGAGAACCTATGCTGCACAGGTGTTTCCAAGTCTGAGGCCTACCCTGTCTCCTCTAGTGCTGAACTTGGCCCTCTATGCTTCATGCAGGCTCCTGGATCCCATCCTCCTAGAAAAGGACCCTGGGGCTGCCCCCATCCATACAGGGGACACAGAGCCTTTAAGAGCAGGGCCACAGGCCACTCAGTTCCCTTGGTATTTTGGTTTGACATATGTTGCTGTGGGACAATGGTCTGTCACTTACATGTTAAATAAATGCTGATTGGCCAGTAGCCAGGCAGGAAGTATAGGTGGGACAACCAGGCAGGAAGTAGAGGCGTGGCAACGAAAATTCTGGGAAGAGGGAAGTTTCAGTCTGCTATTGTGACCCAGCCGCAGAGGAAGTAATATAGCAAGATGTGACTTCCTCACTGATAAAGGTATCAAGCCACGTGGCTAACGCAGACAAGAATTACAGGCTAATATATGTTACAAGAGTTAATAAGAAGCCTGAGCTAATGGACCAATCAGTTTATAACTAATGTAGACCTCTGTGTGGTTCTTTGGGACTTAAGGGCTGTAGGACCGGGCGGGGACAGAAAACCTCGGTCAATGACCTGTCACAGATCTGCAGGGCCTCCAGACCTTCTCCTCCCTCTCAAGAGGCCACGGGGACACCATGAAATGCCCTCTGCACTGTCACCCTGTGTCCTCCCTCTTCCAACTCAAACACCAAACAAGAGGCTTGTGACCAGTGTGAGGTAGGGGTGTGGGGCAGAGGAACGCCTGAACCACACAGCTGGCTTAACAAGACACTGCTCACCTTCCACCTCATGCCAAGGTCTGTTCGATTTAGCTCTGAGGAACCCTAAGGGTCTGTGGAAGCAACTCACTGAGAACTGAGTCTGACAGACCTTGGTTGTGGGGCGAGAAGGTGCAAACATAGGCTTCAGGTGAAAACAGTCTGGGGCGGACACTTGCTGTGTGGTCTCAGGCAAATCTCTCAGCCACTCTGGGCTTCTGATTCCTCACCTATAAAGTAGCGGTGACAACTGCAAAGATGCTGGGGAGCTATACAGCTAGAAAACCCACTGACTTATCCAGCCACAGACAGTCCTCACAGGCCCACAGCACTCCTGCTGGCTCTGAACTCTCAGGATGCTTCTGAGGCAGACGCTCATCTCTAGGAGTAAGCACTTTGCAAACACAACCTGCCTAATCCCGAGAAAGCCTCTCTGAGTTGGTACTGACTCCCTTGACCAGAACCACAGACCTGTGGGAAGAAGGAGGAGGAGGAGGAGGAGGAGAAAGAAGAAGAAGAAGAAGAAGAAGAAGAAGAAGAAGAAGAAGAAGAAGAAGAAGAAGAAGAAGAAGAAGAAGAAGAAGAAGAAGAAGAAAGGCTGGTGAGGTGGCTGGGAGGCCTCCTGGTGATAAAGAGATGGCTAAACTCCATATTTCTGAGTGGCAACGGTGCCTGGCGCAGAACCACACATCCCAGCGCCCAAGGGGCTGTGCCCTGATTCCTACTCCCATACTCCCGCTTCTCCACAACTCAGCAGTCCTCACTGAGAGAAGATGCTAACGTCCGAGCACCTGCCGCATGCCAGGCCTGATGGCAGCACACACGACTGAATCCCCACGCTTTCTCAGTGAAGAGCTTCTGGGACTCTCAGACCAGACACGCTGCTGAACCAAGTAGATCAGAAAGCACCACGACTTTTAGGATGGCAATAGCAGGGACTTGAAACTCAAGGTCCTATGTAATGGTAGAGATCGAGAATAGCCCTGCTCAGGGAGGCAAAGTGACCTTCAAGGCTGAATTGGGATTCAAGCCGGACCTGGGTTCCAAACTCACTTGAGCTACTTCAAATGCTACTCTGTGGCTTTCTTAGGTTTATCCAGCAAGCCCTGGGGCTCCTACGGTCCCCAGCACTTTTATCAGGCCCCCACACTTGGGGCCAGCAAGGGTTCCTTGTGTCCAGGAGCACAGGTCCCGTCTCCTCCAAGACAAACCAGCTCAATTTCCTGCTACCTGCTGCTTGGCAGAGGGAAGGCCAAAGGCAGACTGGCCAGAGGCACCTCTGTGGCTGTTTCTCTGGACGCTGGTGCCGCAAGGGGGACGCCAAAGTTGTGATATATGGTGAAACCTGTGGCACCCCTACCAGGAGCTGTAATTCATAAGTTATGGGCGAGTTTCAAGACTAATAAATTTGGGAGAGAAGTATTAATGACTATACAGGGGCACTGTGAACTTGGCAGGCCCCAAAGCCTGGAACTTTGTAGCCCTGGTTTTAAAAATGATTTGTGCTAAAGCAAGCCTAAACAGAAGCCAGTCGGCACAGTCTGACTGTGACCTGCTGGCAACTTCGGGAAGCTCTTCCCTCTCAAGAGGAATGAGGCTGGGCTGGAGCGGGCTCTGGAGCTCTGGCCCTCGGCAGCAGCCCTCCCCCACTTAAGGAGTGACAGCCATGCCGAGGTGACGCTGGCCAGGTCCCAAGGCTCCTGTGACTCATTGCTGTGTCTGCAGGTTAATGCCTGGATTGTCTGTGTCCTCCTGGGCATGCAGAGGGCCTCTGAGCCCTGCTAGCCTGGAAGTCACAGCTACTAACAAATGTTGCCCTTTCTTAATCTTCAGAGTGGCCCAGGATGCTCTTCGCTCATCTGACTGTAATTTCTAATGTCATGGAAATCCCACCCTGCACATGGCTCTTGGTCAGAGAGGAATCAGCTGGGGGATGCCCCGAGTCCTTGGACTACTACAGGCCATGAATCACGGAGGCTTCTCACAGCCCCTGCATCCTTCCTTCTGCTTCCGAGGCACTGACTATGCCACCGAGGGCTCTGGGGACAGCTGTGAAAATGCAGATGAAGGACTGGATTGTGTGCGGGTGGCTGTGACACACTTGTGCATTAAAAGAGAGGGAGGTACACAGGGATGTCACAGGGCTAACCGGGTGCAGGAGTTGGCATGGAAGGCATCTCATATAGTGTCCATTACCACTGTGTCGCATCGTACCAGGATGCGAGCTTATCTGGAAACAACATGAGTGCAATGAAATTAGTCAAAATGAGGCAGTATTAGAGTAGGGTAGACTTAGACAAATAGGAAATTTGGACACAGACATAAAGGGAGACACCACGTAAAGATGAAGGCAGAGACTGGGTGTCGCCGAGGATTGCTGACAACCACCAGGAGCTACAGAAGTAGAAGGAACAGACGGGCTCCCATCATGGCACTCAGAGAGACCAACCCTATCAACAATCTGACCTCAGACTTCTAGATTCCAAAACCATGAGGCTATTTTTGTTGCTCGGCTTTCTCAGCCTGTGGCATTTTGACAGAGACATCTAACAAACGACCATACTCCTCTAAGGGACTTGGGTACTTTACAGAATGAGCACAGGGAACCAGTTAAGGTATTCTGCAAGGGGGTGACATGAATGGTTTTAGAAGCTTGCTGTATACTGGTGGGGCAGATTCACTACTGATTCCTCACACCCCTGTAAGGCAATGGAGCTAGAGACAGGCCACCAAAGCCTCAAGCTATGTAACTAGGAAGTGCAGCCTCCCTAGTTCTTTCTAGTCCTGTCCTTGATGTGAAGGGTGAAGTCATTCCTGGGTCAAGCTGGCTTTGGCAATCTAAAGTCCAAGGTCTAGGCCCAACATCATCTCTCTCTGACTGTGTGGCTGTTTTCTTTACAACCCTACAGCAGCTAAAAATTAGGGTCCCAGTGCTCTGGAGGCAGAGGTAGGTGGATCTCTGCGAGTTCGAGGCCAGCCTGGTCTACAAGAGCTAGTTCCGTTCTAGGACAGCTAGGGCTGTTACACAGAGAAACCCTGTCACAAAACAAACAAACAAACAAAATCAGGGTCCAGAGAAGCTCTGACCCTGCACAGGTCAGAGCTGCCTGGACAAAGAAATAGCCTTTGGATCTTGAAATAGCTCCATTCATGCAGTACCTGGCTGGGTTCTGTCCCAGGTACTGTCCCGGGTCCCCTTTACCACTCACATTACAGCCCTCAATTTGCCTCATCTGCAAAGCTTAGGTTACAGGCTATTCTGGTTTTCGGCTTGGACTTCTTTTCTGGGCTGTGGTAGGTGGCAGTCCACCAGGAGGGTCTCAGACTTCCACCTACCACAGTGATGGTTAATGTTGGTGTCGATTTGAAAGGATAATCATCACCTAGGAGACACACATCTGGGCAATGGAGTTTCTGAACTCAAGAGAACAGTGAGAGAGTATCCAGGTTAGGTAAGTTGAGGTTCGAGGCCATCCTTGATCCCACGAGTTGGTGCACTAGACTGAATAGAAATGGAGAAAGCAAGCTAGTACCAGTTTTCATCTGATTCCTGACTGGAGCTACAAGGTGCCAACTCCACCCGGTCCTGCAGCCTTCCAGGTACCATGGGCTGCACTCTGTAACCATTTGCCACAAAACAAAACAAACAAAACCTTTCTTCCTTTGTCAGGTTTTTTTTTTTTTTTTTTTTTTTAAAGTAACAACTATTGATTTACAATGGGCATTTGAATGGATCTCCTGGATCTGATTAATTTTTAGCTTGTGTCAAGATCCTGGTTAGATGCTCCTCCTGGGCTCTGGGAGGTAGTTAGTTCTGAGGGCACTGGCTTCTGAGTGTCACTGCAGGTAGGGGCAGATGAGAAGGCACAGACCTGCAAGAAGTCACCCCACTACCTGGAATCCTGTGTCCCAACTTCTGTGTTCAGAGCCATGGAGTGGGGAGAGGAAGGAATCCTTGGGACTCAGGGGACCGTGGGCTCACCTTGAGAGGGCCTCATCTCCTCCACAATGCTCTCTGCTGCAGTCTCTTCGGCCCACGTGCCGGCCTCTACCACCTTGTAGCGGCTGCGTGGCTGGCTGAGCACGTGTGGGGCTTGCAGTGCCGCCTCCCGCTCGGCAGCCAGATCCAGGTCCTGCTGGGCCAGGTGCGCGCGCAGCTGCCGGATCTCAAACTGCAAGGGGCAGAAAGAAGGGTTGAGGGTGGGTGCGCTGTTGGGGTGGGGAAAGGATGGGGGTGGGGACAGGAGGTCGCAACCTCACTCCGGAGCTTTGCACCTGGACGGCATACTAGGATGTAGGGATAAAAGGGCTGAGCTTCCGAAGGCAGGAGGCTGCATTCCTCACTGTGATCTCACCAACACTAAACACATCGGAACCTTTAACGAGCAGTAAGTACTTGGGTATTGTGAGGCCAGGCCCTACTCTAAGAAAATGGCGGTGACGAGAAAGACAGCTGTTGTTTGTAGGAAGACCACGCTGGACCGCTGGACCGCTGGACCGGCGGTGAGGAAATCGAATCTGAACACGCCTTTAGCTACCTGTGCGCCTCCAAGGATTATTAACAGGAAAGCCCTCTTCAGGCGGCTCCGGCTCCGACAGGTGCTGAATGGAAGAAGACGCCTCACCCCCAAACTAGCACAGCTTAAGCATGCTGGCTTCACGTACATGCTGGTCCAGCTTATTTGTCTTCTGGTAATATCCATTTCCCTCTCCCACAAGTTGTGGGAGATGGCTCTCGGCTAGATAGTGCCGAGATATGTGACCTTGGGAAGGCCCTACACTTTCTCTGGCCTCAGTTTCTTGATTTGTAGATGCAATTTTATATCTCTGAGTTTTATGTCCCTTTCTGAAGACGTGGTAAGAAATAAACATCTCAGTGGTAACACCATCGCCATAATCATCATCGTTAGAACGCTTCTTAGAAAGGCCTCTAAATGTCTGGCGTTTGCGACTGAGATAGGTGTCCTCATTCCAAATCTTATAGGGGAAATCTGATATCTGCGCTTAGGACAATGAAGGGGCTGTGTGGGCTAAACAGTAATGAGTATTCACTGCCACCTAGTGTTCAAAGTGCACATTGGCGAGGGTGCCAATGCTGTGCCTGTTAACTACTTGTCCCTGCGGGGAGCCCCCAAACAGCCCAGCCCCCTTGTTAGAATGTGAGACTTGCCTAGTACTGTCATCGGGTAGCCAGTTCACTAGGTCAGAACAGCACTCCACTATCTCCTCAGATCTGCCCCTCAGTTGTTTTTATTCCAGGTTAGCTACAGCCCAAACTGTCCTCTGGGCATCCCACCCACTCCCTAGTCCAGCTCCATCTTCAGGTGCTTTTCTACCCGCTCACTTGTCTCCAGGTCTACTGCTGCCCACTGACTGACAGCTGCATATTCACACATGGGCTCTGGCAAACCTAAATCGGATCACGACACCCGGTTCGTAAGTCTTAGTGGTTTACCACCTCACTTGGGAGAAAGTCCAAACTACCTGCCCTTGGCTCAAAAAGCCTCCGCACAGCAGCCTGGGTCTGCCCACCCTGCCAGCTTGCTTCCTCAAGTCTCTGGCTGTTCTGTAAAGCACAAGGCACTTTCCCAACTGTTCCCTCTGTCCCGGATCACATGGTTGATCGCCACTCTGAGGGCCTTATCCTGGTCTCTCACCTACAGCAGCCTACTAGACCCTCAGTCACATGGGCCTCTTTGAATTCTCTGTATCACATTACTGCACTGAGATACTTTTGTCTCCTCCCTCCCTCCCTCCCTTCCTCACTCCCTCCCTCCCTTCCTCACTCACTTCCTCCCTTCTTCCCTCCCTCCCTCCCTCCCTTCCTCCCTCCCTCCCTTCCTCACTCCCTTCCTCCCTCTCTCCCTCTCTTTCTTTCTTAGGGCCTTACATAGTCTCCTCTAGCTTCAGACTCTCCTTAAATTTCTGATGCTTGCCCCATGCCTTTTGGGTGCTAGGATGCTGCCGTGCCTGGCTCCATGCAGCTCTGGGACTGGAACCGGAAGACTCCTGCACACTAGACAAGCACTCTCTCAACTGTGTCACATCCACAGGCCTATTTTCAGTTTTGATTTATTTTTATCTTATGTGCATTGGTGTTTTGCCTGCATATGTGTCTGTGTGAAGGGGTCAGAACTCCTGGAGCTGGAGTTACAGACGGTTGTGAGCTGCCATGTGGGTGCTTGAAATTGATCCCGGGTCCTCTGGAAGAGCAGCCAGTGTTCTTAACTGCTGAAGCATCTCTCCAGCCCCCAATTCATTTATTTTCATGAAGGTAAACCATGAGCACAGGTGAAATCATTGACTGCCACCAGAATGGCCTAGCAGTGACCCGGCGTGGGACAGCTCCCAGGGTCAGTATCTGCACGCTTGTGTCTGTGACTACTCGTGTTTCCAGAGACTTCGTTAATCTGTCATCCATGGGCCTCTGGGTGCTTCTGCACTGTGAGCAGGGCAGGATGCTAGGACATCGCCAGGGAGGGGGAGCTTTCTTTGAACTCTTGTTTCAGCCTTGTGTCTCTCTCCCCAGGCACCTGCCCAATCCAAAGCCTCTGTGCTGAGCCTCTGGTTTAATTTCTCCAGAGAGCAAACCCATGATGGCCTCTTTGAAGGTGGAGTCTGTCCTCCTGATCACACAAGCCTTGGAGTATTTTAAATTTCCGAATAGACTTTTACCCAATTCCATTGCCCTGATGTTCATTTCACACAATGCCCTCTTCCTCCCAGAATCTCTACGATTCTGAGGGCAGAACTGGCCCCATTTTCCTCCTCTGTGGCCATGTCAGACACTGTTTTCTCCACTTTGCCTAAAGTCCGTATCCTCTCTGACCCAACCCACAAGACTGTTTCCTAGGCTCTACGCACTTGGTTGCTCCCTTCAACCCTCATCTTGTGGCATCTGAGAGGCGACCAGATGCAAATGTGTGGTTACAACATTCATTAGCTTATCTTTCATACCACCCACCCCCAGTGGTGTGCTGATAGAAAAGAAATAAAACCTTAATAGGCACAAAAATGCCACGAAGAAACTTGCTACTTTGCATGCAAAAATAAATAAACCAAACAAACATTAAAAAAAAAAACAACTAACTAAAGCAAAATCTGCTTAATTCACAGTGTAGGCCCCTTCTGAACTGCACGGCAATGCTCATCCTGGGTGAGTTTAAGCTACCAGCACAGTGTCATGGGAAACAGAGAAACGGGCAAGATTGGTTCTTCCAGTCCAGTAAGAGCCGTGCTGCACTAACGCTGGGATACCCCACACAAACCCGGACCTTGTCTGTGCTGGTGTGCATACACAGGAGGCACTCGGGTGCTGCTGAATACATGAAGTAAAATTAGTTTCTTCAGTCCTGTGGTTTCAGACTGAGCTAACTCTAGCTACAGCCCGAGCTTCAATAGCCCGAAGTAGAGACAAAGATTGTGCCACATAAACTGAGCTCCGATCCTTGTTACACACCCAGTGTAGACTCAGCAATGCCAGTCTTCCTCACTGGCCGCACACGGAACCCTGAACTTGGTCACGCATGATGGTGAGTCTGACGTGGACCCTAACCCCAGCGCAGCCACAGGTCCAAACGCCTGACTCCAGACCCCGGATCTCAACAGCCCAGCAATCAAACAGGGCTGGCAGTCTCAAGGGTGTGAGAGGAGATTTTACTGGGGCCTCTTTTGCAGGGAGGGAGGGGCCGCTTCTCTAGAAACAAGGTACTGAAGGTCAATGAGAGCCCATGAGGTAACCTTCCCGAGCTCTGTGGGGCTAGGAGCCCTCTTGCCTAGGCTGATGGGAACTTCCCAGGGGCACATGCAGCCACTCTCTCCAAGGCCACGCATCAGAGTCTGCACGCCCAGCTAATGGCTTCCTAGGCCCCTCTGAAGGGATGCATTATTGATGGTTTGTAATCAATACGGAGCTGCTCTGGGGAGTCTCACTGGAATTCAGGCCAGTCAGCCGGAGGTCAGGACCTGCCCAGCCCAAGACCGCATATGCCCAGAAACAAGTTTTGAACTGAAGATGCGAACACCAAGGCCATGTTGTCTTCTCATTCATTCATTCATTCATTCAGAAGTCAGGTAGGGGCCATGTTAAAATTCTGCTGCACGTTTTGGAATGAAATTGCCTGCCCTGGCTTAAAGGTGAGTCCTGAGTGATTCCAGGAAAGAGATGGCTTATGCCACTGCAAGGGACACATCGCCTCTGAGAATCGCAAGCCTTGTCCTGGGGTAGTACCTGAGGCAGACAAGGAACAGGTTATCAGGCAGAGCATGTCACCAGGGAGAGATGTTTTAGGGACTCCAGCCTTTATTTAAAGAGCAACACGAAACAGCTGAAACCATTCACACAGGGCAGAGTGGTGCATCGGTGCTGTGACCCAGAGGAGCGACAGAGAGCGCCATGCTGACTGCAGGCTGGAGAAAGGGGGGTGTGGGGATCCCCACTGGGGCCTGCTGCAGGGTCCTGAGCAGAGATGGCCAGATTTGGACTAGGATGAAGGCTGAGCTGAAGGAGACAGGAAAGCCAGGTGGGAGGTGGGGGCGGTGAAAATGTCCCTAAACGATTTGTTTTGAATGAGGGTAAGAGAGAGGGCAGCTTGCTAGAGAGGTATTTGGGTTTTATTTTATTTTATTTTTTCATACAAAGGTCTGACTATGTAAACCAGGGTGGCCTCGAACACACAGTGGTCTACCTGTCTCAGCCTCCTGAGTACTGGTGTTAAACAAAGGTGTACACCTCGGTGCTCGCAGGGGTAGGTTTTTAGACACTTTGTATCAAGAGGATGGAGGGTGTCTGGATGCTCTCAGGCTTTACTCTGAATAAGAATGGCTGATTCCTTATGCGAGCACTAAGTAGGAGCCAGATGGCTTCTGCTCTGTCCACTGGCTGAGACCGCCCATGGGGGTTTCTCAGTGTGCCCCAGTGAGACCCTTAGGCACTGGCTCCTGACTCTCCTGCTACTTAACACTACCCCATACAAGTCCCCTGGCTGACTGATGGGTTGTTAGCAGAACGGCAGGGTGTTATTAGTCAGATGAGTTAATTGAGGCCGGGAGGTGGAAGGAGCCTTCTGTGCAGGGGGAATGGAAGGCCAGGATCACAAGGTGTGACAGAAGCAAAGTAGAAGCAGAACAACGTGAGGTCCCCACAAGAACAAATCCGGACTTGAGGGAAGGCCCGAGCTCTCAGTCCATGCCTCCCCTCACACGGGATACATCCCTTTTCTTCTGAGGGCTTCATTTCACTCTCTATCCAATTCAAGACAAGTGAACTGGCTGATTGGAGTCTTGCCCTGAGACCCCAGCTTGGGCACTGAGGCTGGGATAATGAAGTTCAGTATCTGCTAATCCTCAGTGTTGTCATGAAGGCCAACCTTGGTGCTGATGACACAAGCCTTTCCTGAAGAAGGATAACGTCATCCAGAGCCCTCACACACAACAGTGTGTAGCACATAGCGAGGCTGACACACACAACAGTGTGTAGCACATAGTGAGTCCTCACACACAACAATGTGTAGCACATAGTGAGACCTCACACACAACAGTGTGTAGCACATAGCGAGGCTGACACACACAACAGTGTGTAGCACATAGTGAGGCTGAACACACAACAGTGTGTAGCACATAGCGAGGCTGACACACACAACAGTGTGTAGCACATAGCAAGGCTGACACATACAACACTGTGTAGCACATAGTGAGGTTGACTACCTATGCGAAGGAGCAGAGACGAGCCATCGCTTATAGAAGCGAAAGCAGTTAACAGAGGCATATGGGTGAGTAGCCAGGCTAACACATAACAATCTGAAATGATGATTCATGAAAGAAAACGAGCCAGGGACAGTGACCTACACCCAGAATTGTAACACCTGAAGAACTAGGTGGGGCAAGAGAACTGCAGGTTCAAGGCCAGCCTGGGCTATGTAGGCCTTTAATTACCTTCCAGTGGGGGAATGAGACTCAAACCACACTTTATGATTATAGGATCTGAAGGAACACTCAGGTAGTGTTACAGAGACTGGGCAAGGAGAAAGACAGTTCTTGAGCTTCAAGATGGGTGATAGGTCTATGAAAGTACCACACTTACCAGTGGAGGAGAGGGAGAGCCAATAGAGGAGAATAGAATCTGAAAGATGTGAAACCCAGTTGGAGCCCCAGAGGAGACGAATGAAAGAATGGGACAGAAGCAATAAATCGCACATCTGGCTCAGCGGCAGGGCACATGGTCACGTGTTCATTAACTGCCTCTCCTCACAAGAAAGAAAAGGAAACCTAGCCCCAAGCTTCGTAAACTAATGATAGCCATCAGCTGAATCTATTCAAGAAAAAAAGAAACTTCTAGGCCACATAAGCATGACTGGCGCACCCCCCAACTTGTAGACCCCTGCAGTCAGAAGAAATACCTACCCCCCAGGATCTCCAGAGCTCACAAGAGCCGGGTCTCTGAGCAAGGTAGGCATGCAGTGCCTCCAATGACAAAATGAAGCAACTCTTCCACTAGTAAACATTGTGCAAAAGCCCATCCCTAGGCTAGGGGAAAATTAAAGCACAGTCATGGCCCCACCCACTGCACACCATTAGGTAGGTATTTCTAATCAGATAACCCAACCTGGTCAGCAGGGATCCACCGAGAGCCCCGAAGTGTGCATTACCGGAGTGAACCAGGCCCTCCACGGTGGCCACACCCAGCCTTCTCTGCCTTTAATGGACTGGCCACGGAGTCCAATGGACATGGGCTGCAGCCTGATCAATGCACACTTTGGCCAGCATCTCGATGGCATCTAATGCAATAGCAATAATTTGGCTCCGCTCTGTCAGTGCTGTCTGCACAAGCTGCCCCGCCTTCAAAGCCATCTGCCGCTGGGAAGGCGTCCAATGTTTATCTCCATTAGTTTCGCCATTGTTGGTAACAATAAAAATCGGGAGACGCTTGCAAACTAATGATTTAGGAGCAGGGTGAGGCTGAAATCGACCTTGGCCCCTTTCCATCCACTGTGGAGATGACTGGTAGATGGCCATAAATTTAAATTATCGTAAAAGGATAACATATGTTATTTCTCTGATGGCTAATTTTATCAGCTAAATAGGCTTGTCACTAAAGCTATCGGCTGTTTTACAAACCACTTCCCATGTTAAAAAATAATAATAACTCGACTTCCCCCAGTGGAAAATTTGAAAAGTCCAGGTAACAGAGCCTATTGTGCCAAAAAGGTGAGGGCTGAAGACTTCTGTAGGGAAGGAAGGAGCTCTTTAGAAGGAGCCACTGTTGAAGCAGTATAGAACATGTTTCCTGTTATCCTGTCCTCTGGCCCATTCTCTCAGCTCTGGGCACAGCCTCAAAGGTGAGTGGTTTGTGCAGAGCTGTGAGCTTTGCTTGGAGTTCTCAGAACCAGGTGCAGAAAGAGGCCAGGATGATGGCCTTGGTTCATGCCCAGCCCTTCACACCCACAAGTCCGTACACCCAGCCCTCTGCACCCACAAGCCTGCACACACAGCCCTCTGCACCCACAAGCCTGCACACCCTGCCCTCTGCACCCACAAACCTTCCCAAGCTCTGGCATGTGAGCACATGGGGTGTTGTATCCCTCTGCCTTTTTTGCCTTAGACATGTGTAGAACTTGGGTGGAAATTCTCATCTTTTTTTCTTGGGGAAACTGATCAGGGAGACAATCTCTTTCAGGGAGGATTTTGGTGAGTTGGGACTGTGCCTCCCATGATGCAGGAGGGTTATGAGCCCATAAAACTTACTTTATAGGTTAAATGATAGTGTAGTGACTTTTTTCTCTTTGTGGGCACACAGGTGACTATCATCAGCATCTAGTATCTTTGAGTTTTGTAAGATCTGCAATAAAATAAGGGCAGAAGAAATGCCACCACTTCCAGACCTGGCAAAGAAAGACTTGTCACCTG